TAAATATTTATTGTAGTACAATGAAAGTAGATTGATTTAATTTATTTTTTATAATAGTGGAATCAAAATGTTCACCAAATTTTTTTAAATATTATTATAAAGATAGTAGTTGAAAATTAAAATATCAACGTATATGATTTGGTAAAAGAAATAATTGAACTTCGACTGGTTAAATAGTGATGGTACATCATCTTTCAAGGCTCAATTTTTGATACATCATCACATTATTTGGTCCTATTAAGAACTCTTTAAGTTATGACGGTCCGTCATCTTTCAAGATTCAATTTTTGAACCATTCACTAATTTCTTGACTTTAGGTTTTTGCCTTCACTCACTTTCTTCTTCTAGTGTGACTATTAATAGTGTCATCAAACTCAACAAATACATAAATATGTTATTTTTTATAATTATAAAATAGGTCTTTTTAAAGATAAAAGAAGACAATAAACTATTATCATACCTAATGTATATGTTGATTGTATCACAATTGAATAAGAGGTATTAATGAGCTTGAGCTTTTGATATGAATTTCAATGAAAATTGTAAGATAACAGAGAAAAAGGAGAAAGAGAACCAGAGAACAAAGAAGAAAAGAATTGTATTGAGGAAAAATTGAATTGAAAAAATAAAAACAACAAGGTAAAGGTATATATACAGGAAGTAAAAAGGCTTCCTAGACCGAACGTCCTAAAAGGGAACGATCGATACAAAGAAGGCAAACGGAAACAACAAAGGAAAAGGAACGAACGACAGAGCAAAGGACGAGCGTTCCTGTCGAGCAGCGAGAGCGACAGTCACGATGTCGAGCGAACCTGTCGAGCGGAACGAACGACAGGCACGATGTCACGAGGACGAGCGTTCCTGTCGACCAGTGAGAGCGACAGTCACGATGTCGAGCGACCCTGTCGAGCGGAACGAATGACAGGCACGATGTCACGAGGACGAGCGTTCCTGTCGACCAATGAGAGCGACAGTCACGATGTCGAGCGACCCTGTCGAGCAGAACGAACGACAGGCACGATGACGATCGTTCCTGTCGAGCGATAAGACGAGCGACAATAACCAGATAAGGACGAACGACGAGCAGCAACAATCAGATGATGACGAACGACCATAATAACTCTATCAAAAATGGTTTACCATTTCTTTCTAGACGACCAAGAGTTTAAAAATAATCACCTGAGCTATGTCACGTAAATAATTATGGTCATAATTGTGATCTTCTCTATTTAGGCTTGTCTTTACACCTTCATGCAAATATCTTGAGCAAAAAGTCAAAATTTCTCCTATCAAATACCCTTCAATAATTGAACCTTCTAGACAAGCTTTGTTATGACCATGACTCTTTAGTCTATTTAAATATCTTTTAATGGGATACATTCATTGAAATTGAACGAAACCACTTAATCTCACTTCATTTTGAACGATTATGTAAGAAAAAAAACTAGGTGGAAAAATCATATCTTGTTGACAAAGATTTTGTATTACTTTAGCTTCAAGTAATCCATATCTCGCAATTGTATAGCCTTTTGACATATAGAGTGAAAGAATAATCCAAATCAAATCAAAGTGTTGACCACTATATTAGGCGTAACGCTTCATATTTCTATGGATAGTAAGTAATGCAACCTGAAATAAGGATCATGACTCTTGTAGGATAGACTCTAACCAGGCTCTAATATACCATGTTAAGAAGTGGACTTTAGAGACATATTAGAATTTATCCTAACAATATTTGTTGTTTCTTAGGCATATTGTTTCACCCGCTATCGAGTTACTATCGAGATGTATATACTTCGATGTCAGGAGAGTGTTGGAATTTTTATATCAACTAGATATAAAGCCAATTTAAAATATATAAGTAGATACAAACCTCACCTTACAAGCCCATTTTGTTGGATAATAAAGTCCACCCTTAATAATAATTACCCTTTTCATGTCATTAAACCATATGGCAATTGGTTGAGTAATATTTTTAGATGAATAATATCACGAAATACTATTTCTAAAAATAAGACTTATTCTTAGATTTTTATTGTCACAATTTTATTATCAACTTTAGTTATGAACATAATATATTCTTAGATCTTTATTGTCACGATTTTATTATCAACTTTAGTTATGAACATAATATATGAGACATTGTTGGAATGAAGAATCTTCTAAATCTTACATGGGTGTATACATTAATTTCCAACTATTTTCTACAACATATAAAATCTAAAATGATATAATTAGTTATGACAACAATAAATTTATTTTAATACATAAACTTCTAGTTTATGATAACATGTCTTTCAATTGTACCAATACATACATATAAGATAGATTAATTCGTCTGGTGCATATTTTTTTATTGAAAAATATAAATATATTATAATTTTCCTTTATTATTTGTTTCAATATGATATTCATTTATGAATATCTTTGAAATTTAATAAATTCTATTAAAATTAGGAAAATAATTTTATTGTTCAACATAATACCGATAATAGTATAGTAGCACTTTGTAAGCCTTTCACTTTTTATTTCCAGTGATAGAAATAATATTAATGTTTACTTTTTGCAACATTTCCAAATAAGAGAAGAGTTGATTATTTTAAGAATGGTAGAGATTATTACATTATAACAAGACACGTATATTTGTTATTAATGAATTGGTGTAAGTGATAACATTCATTCTTCATAAAAGAAGAAGAAGTATATAAATCAATGTTAGAAAAAAAAATGTGTAATATATATATATATATATATATATATATATATATATATATATATATATTAAACCTTGCTTTTATTAAAAACCTGAAACTCTCTATTAAACATAAACAAACATGCACATTATGATTTAAATGCATATTATAAGAAAAATAAGTATTATTTAGTACTCCCATTACCAATAATGTAATTAAGACATCCATTAACAAAAAAAAAAAATCAACAATATAAAAAAGAGTAGTATCATATGACTATAATCAAAATTACAAAACTTCATAAACAAAATATGTTTCTATATTTTCCTCTTTATTTTAAAGTTGTTTTTAGAAGAGTTGAACACGATATTTTATCACCACAACTTGCTTTTTCTTTTCCTTTTTTTCACATTTCTGTCCACTTTGAATGAAAAGAAGTATTCTTGAAAATTCCTTTTTGACCATTTCCACAGTCATAAATTTTAGTGAGACCACGATCGCGACCGTGAAAATTTTCGGATGTTTCTACCTCACCACATGTTCATTCTTGTTAATTCTTTAGTCTTATATTGCTCGAACTTCTTTCTATATCATAATATTAAAATCACAAATTCAAGATTTGACATGTTAATTGTTTTTCTGGATTGGGAAGAGAGATAAGGATGAATATCGCGCAATACTTTTATATGAAAGAACTTTTATTTTGCTGTAGATAACCGATTGGTGTGAAGGAATTGATCTCCAGAGTTAGAATTAGTATAAAGTAGTTTAATTATGAAAAAATGTTCTGTACTTTGAAATTAAATCTTTAGAATTTAAAAAAATTTAATAAATTAATTTATTTCTGAGTGGTCATGAATCTTAACCACTTATCAATAACAATTACTGTATTAGTTGTGTTCAACTGCTGTCGTGATCGGTTGACTACAAAATCCTTTTTCGTACTTCGACAATTCAGTCTATTCGACTCAGCACAGTCATACCCAATCGATCGACTCTCATCCTCGATAACAATAACTAAAAAATGTTAATTAAAATTACATTAAGAATACTAATATATATATATATATATATATATATATATATATATATATATATATTATAATATGTATGAACTTAGAAAAATAAAATAAAAAATGTAAAAAAACGGTTGAAAAGATGTAACAAATAATACGGCGTTTTGATGCCTATGCATATATAAAATTAAAGATCACAATCAAATAACTAAACATGCGTAACTATTTATCACTGTAAAGTAAACCGTTGGTGTTTCTAAAGAAAAATATATCAAAGTTTTTAGTAGATACTAAAATAATAATAAATCATGGTTGTTGAATATGTACAGACATAAATTTATCTTTCGACTAATCACGAATATTCTAAAATTTATTATTATGAGCTAAATATGGGAAGCTTTAAATAACAACGATAGATATATACTACAAAAATAATATACTTAGTTTGGTTGGTGAAAGTCCTGATGCTAATAAGAATTAATAAAATAAAAACAAGTTTACTTAAATTTCAAGTTTTTATAAATTTGAATATTATAAATTAAGTTTTTATTAAATATTTTTATTTTATTTAGTATTCATAATTTTATATTAATTTTTATTATTTATTTAAATATTCATTAACTTACTTGTTTTCTTGTTTTCATATGTAAAATTTTATAGTTAATATAAAATAATATTATTAAAATAATTTTATTATAAAAATTAAACACGTATTAGATAATATATTATTATGTTCTTTCTTAACTTTCACTATAAATAAGTAAAGGATTGTTGTTATCCATAGCTGTCCAAAACCTTAATATTTAACTATAAATAAACACAATAAAAATTATCTATACTTATTTTAGTAGTAATGTTATTTTATTTTAATTAAAATATTATATTTTAAACATGTAAAATGAATAAATAAAATATTAAATATGACTTTTTTATTTAATTTTGAATGAAAATTAAAATTAGTTTTTCACTTTGATCTCTCGTATTTAGTATGAATTTTAATTATTTTAATCAATTGTTAAATTTGTTTAATGTTTTCTAAAGTTTTGAAAATAAATTTATATGAAAATTTTTAAAAAAGTTAAATTTGAATTTTATGATAAAATTCATGAATAAAATCATATTCAATCTTAAATAAAATAGTTAATATTTATTTAATTAAAAATATATAAATTAAGAAGTTAAATCTTAATTAAATTTGAAAGAAAAAAAATTAAAGTGGGTAGATGGATGTTCTTGTCGGAAGGCATTGATAAGATGAGTGATGTATATATCCTTTTCCTAACCAAATAGCATCATTATTACATCTACTGCATAACACAGCTAAAGCTCTCTCACTCACTATAACTCCCTCTCCTTCCTTTCCTTTACTTTCCTTTCTTTCCTTTCTTTCTTTCCCTTTTTCCATTTCCATTCTCCTTCCACACAACTAATCCCACCTCGCAAACTTCTAAATTCACACCACCGTCTTCGTCTTCTTCTATGCAATGGGAGGTGTCACATCATCCATGGCTTCCAAGTTGGCCTTCTTCCCACCCAACCCAGCATCGTACAAGGTTGTCAAGGACGATGTAACGGGTCTTCTGCTCCTCAGTCCCTTCCCTCACCGCGAGAACGTCGAAATTCTTAAGCTTCCCACGCGCCGTGGAACTCAGATACTCACCATGTACGTTCGCCACCCCATGGCCTCTTCCACTCTTCTCTACTCACACGGCAACGCCACCGATCTTGGCCAGATGTATGACCTTTTCATCAACCTCACCATCCATCTACGTGTTAATCTCATTGGGTATGCATATCTATGCTTTCTCACTTTTTTTATTTGTTTGTTTCTTTTATACTTCTGAATTGTTGTTGTGGTGGTGGTAATCAAATGCCGTGTGTGTGATAATCACAATTGTGATGAATATACAATCCTTGATGTTGTTGCTAAAATCGTTACAGTTGTAATCACTTCAAAAACCCTGATGTTGTTGCTAAAATCGTAACAATTGTAGTGGAAGTTAAAGAACCTTGGCGTTTTTGCTGAGATTGAAACTTTAAGACTTTATTTGTTTTTATAGATGATGTCACACAAGTAATTGACTGTATCAAATGAATTATACGACTGTGAAAGCTTTATTGAAGGTGAAATTGAGTTAATGAAACATTGTATCGTTGGCTTTGTTAAAAGTTAAAGCTTTAGGAATATTGTTATGTGGGTAATGGAATAATTTTATTTGATTAAAATATTTTACTTTTGTTGTTGTTTTTTCTGTTGATTCATTTATTTCTTCCAGGTATTATTGAAAAAATTAATTACTACTTTCTCTGACATTGCAATGTGATATAATACGCCATCTCACTTTATGTGTGTGGTAAATTTTCATGCCTTGTTCGTGTGGTTGCGTTGGTTTTCGTTTGAGTTTTTCCAAAGTTTGGCTCTTTTTGAGATTGAAAATGGTGGCCACATGGTGCTTTTTGGAGGGAGGGATTGTGAATGATTTGGAACGTTGGGAAGAGAAATGCAAGTAACAGTTAGACTCGTCTAAAAGCACTTTGTTAGTTTCAATATATTAAAAATTATAAATTTTTAATGAATTTTTCTCTTTATTTGATGAGATCTACGTTATTTTGTAATTTTTAATAGTTTTAATTAATATCAGATAGTGTTAGTACTCCTCGTTTTGTATGTTCTCGAAATATTAAAATGTGGTTGCTGTGGTGAGGCATTTTTAACTTTGGAAGGATTAAAGAAAAAAGTGGAGGACTTTATTTTTTTCTATTTTGGGTTGGCTGCAATTTATGTGGGAAATCTCTCATTGTCTAGAGATAAAGGTCAAATTATTATATATAAATGGATGCAAGTTGTATTTTACAAGCTGATTTTGTAAAATTGAGTTAGATTTAAAATCTATCATTTAAGATAGTATTACAAGTTTTTTTTTTTTTTTTTAAGTTGAGCTGGACTTAAAATCTACCTTTTAAGATAGTATTACAAGTTCCTTAAGTATTACAAGTGTTTTTTTTGTAAGGTTGACTTAGATTTAAAATCTAGCTTTTAAGATAGTATTGAATGTTCTTGTTGTTGTAAGGTTGAATTAGACTTAAAATCCACTTAAGAATTTATGATAAGGAGTTTACACCTTTGTAGTTTGCATATTTTGATAATATGTTTGTAATTAAGGTTTCTGGTGTGTTATTTCTTGGTGGAAATGTTATAGTTTGTTAACTGGTACCAGAAGCAAAGTGTGGTGAATAATAGTGTCTATTATCTCTGTTGATCAAAAGGAGAATTGTGAAACGGGGATTTGACTCACAGTCATGTGATTTTGTGCAGGTATGACTACTCTGGGTATGGTCAATCATCAGGGAAGGTTTGTAAGAATCTGAAATGCTTGTTCATGTTGTTATGTCATGCAGTGATGATGTGAAGAGTGGTAGAGCTAAAACCATCTGCTGATGAAACATTATTTTGCCTGAACTGCAGCCAAGTGAGCAGAATACATATGCAGATATTGAGGCTGTGTACAAATGTCTAGAAGAAACCTATGGTACCAAGCAAGAGGATATAATCTTGTATGGCCAATCTGTTGGCAGTGGCCCTACTTTGGATCTTGCAACTAAATTGCCACAATTGAGAGCTGTTGTTCTGCACAGTCCTATACTTTCAGGCTTGAGGGTCATGTATCCAGTGAAACGCAGTTACTGGTTTGACATATACAAGGTAGGATAATGTTTTTGAATTCTAATCATTATTGAGATTTCTAATAAATTGTTACTGATTTACGGGCACATGAGTTCCTTAACCTAATCAGGTGCTGCTTTGTGTTAATGTGCAGAATATTGACAAAATTCCATTGGTTAATTGTCCTGTTCTTATAATTCATGTAAGTTTTCTTGGAAGATGCTGCATCATTTGTTGCTTTTGAGTTGGATTGAGAAACAATTACTTTTGTATTGGTTACATGGTATCTTTCTTTTTGAATATCTTATATCTTGGGCTTTATTTTTTCTTTGTTCTTTTTTCCACTTTTTAAAAAATTTCTTTACCTTTATTGTAGACTTTTCACCCAACTGAGTTATTTCTGTGGTTCTATACAGGGATTATGTGAACAATTATTTCTTCATTATAATCATATGACACAGAATGCCTTTGTTATGCCTCGTGTGTGGCATTGGCAGACTTCTAAGCCCTTGAACTTCGTATTTGAAATTTAGGAAGTACAAAATTTTCTTCACCTGAATTGCTCTATGTAGTTAAGTTTATACAGGGAATAAGAGTATGTAGTCTTAACATTAAAATCAAGAAACCAGTTAAAATGCTGCCAGTCTTCTACTTATGGAGCATGTTCTGCATATCATTCTTATCGTTTATGGTAAACAAGAATGATCAATTTCGACAGAACTGAGAAATTGTGTCAGTGACAAGTGCCAATTAGAGAATTTTCACTTCCATTATTTCTTGTATCTACTAGTTTTGCAGTCATTTGATAATTGTGAATGAAATACATGCACATTTCAGACTCTTCACTTTTATTCATTTAAACCACTTGTGTCAATTATCAGTTTTTAAAATAATGTGTGCTATCAACCATTTCAGCTGTTAGAGAATTTGAAGTTCATAAGTATGGCACAATCATGCAAGCTATTAGTTTAGTTTTCTTTTGAATTGAGTATCGAAACAACTGTGTCATAAAGTACTTCATCTGCATAATATTTATTTACATGATGAAAGAATCTGGTTAGTATCTTATGATTGAAGTTTCTCATGTTATTATGTAGGGTACTTCAGATGAAGTGGTAGATTGCTCCCACGGAAAACAACTGTGGGAACTGTGTAAAGAGAAGTATGAGCCACTGTGGCTACAAGGGGGTAACCACTGTGATTTGGAGCAATTTCCTGAGTATATCAGGCATCTGAAGAAGTTCATATCCACTGTTGAGAAGTCTCCATCACAAAGATACAGCTTCAGAAGAAGCATGGAGCAGTTTGAGCAGCCCCGAAAGAGCACCGATGTATTTGATGTCAGTAGAAAGAGCACTGATCGCAGGGAAAAACCACGGCTGAGCACAGACAGGCCTGAAAAACTGAAGAACTTGTCCAATAATGCAGAAAAGTTAGAGAGACTAAGAGTAACTTTTGATCACATAGAAAGGTCAAGAAGAAGTGTGGATTGTCTTGAGAAGTCTAGAAAAAGCATTGATCATCAACTTGAAAAGGCAAGGAAAAGTGTGGACAGGCTGGAAAGAATAAGGACCTGAGATTCTTGGTTTAATCAAATTATGTATTCATAAATGGCTTGGCTTTATGGGATTTTTTTCTTCTTTAAATTGACCTACCTGGTGTTGTAGTATGGCTTATATCAGATACGTTGATAAGTATTGGCATCAAAGGAAGCCTTTGGTTTTTACATTGGAATGTGATGCTATCACCTTTTCTTCCTACATGTGTTTGATTTGTGTATAATCCTTATCTAAGTAATGCTACTGAAACTTTCTGGACCAAGGCATTGCCAGGTTTTCTTTAGCAAGAAACTCTTTTCTTTATAACTTTAGTATGTAGGCCATGGATAATGGATAAGCAAAAGTTTTAAGTGCTTATCCACTATGGATTATGATCTATGGCTAAGCATTAAGCACAAAAGTTGAGTGTCCTCTAAATATATTCGAAAACTTCATCTGTATTTGATGTATTTGTTTTCTCTCTTAACAAAAATAAGAAGTCTTTTTTTATCATGTTATTCAACTATATATCATAACATAAAATCAACATATTACTGGTTTGAGTAAAATTAAATTCAAATTCTCTAAATAATCTCTTCAATTCTCAAATATGTTCATAAAAGAACTCCTTCAGTGCCTATGGATAAACTTTGGAAGGTTGGTTTCTTTCCTGACAAAATCTAGCAGATGCATGATGTGTGTATTTAGATGACATTAGATAGTTTGAAGATATCGAACAACGAACGTGAAAGCGATTTACACATAAAAAAAATATTTTTCAATTTAAAAAAAAAAGAAAATTCTAAATACTAAGACCACGCGTGCTATCACGCAAATATTTATACTTTTATTTTAAGATATTCGAAGATACGGATGGTCACAGAAATTTGTTCTGAATGTTTCATTTTGACAAAAGATGTTTATAGAACATATGGAAATTCATTAACATATAACCTTGAAATAGATTAAAATAAAATGAGGCTAAAAGAAATACGCCGAGAAAAAGGTAGGTCTGAAGTTAGGAAATAAAATGAAAGAAAATTCCGACAACCTAAAACAATAATATAATAATAATATCATGAAATAAAAGATAAATTTGTATTAATTGGTACGCCAACCAAAAAATGAAGCCAACATATATATGAATACTGTACGTGAGATTTGCATGCTTTGTCTCATGAAATTTCAAGATTGGTTTCAATTAACCATTTGACATGCATCCTTACTGTACCAAGCAAAAGAAACACCCAAAATTTCTAGGGTGGGACCCACTGTATCTAAAGATAATTAATACCATCATTAAGCCAAACCCAAAAGCATATACTGGATGCACTAAACGTGAAAGGTGGTTTCGGTTGGTTTGGAAGAAAGGAAAAACAGGGTAAGAGAAAGAGGGGATACACGTATAGAAAGAATTATGTGTGAATGATATTTCACTCTTAAGCAGTTGAGAAAAGAATAAATGATTTATAGAATGAATAACAGAACATATAAAACAGAAAATAAAAAACAATACTTAAATTAATACAACATTTCTCCTTAATTTATGTACTTAAAATTAAGTCTAACTTAGTTTTCAGACTACTAAATTTATCATTTTTTAAAGGTTTAGTAAAAACATCTGTAAACTAGTGAAGCATTAGATTAGTTTTACTCTTGCATTACTTTCATTGTTGTCAAATGGAATCAATCCATGGCATACGACAAAAGATCCAGTTATATATTCTGTTTCACAAGTGGACAATGTCATAACCTATTGCTTTTTGTTACACCAAGAGATGGTGCAACCATAAATTTGAACAAGAATTTAGTAGTGCTTCTTCTATCACTACCATCACCGCACCAGTAAGAATCTTACCAACCAACCAATTCATTTTGCATCTTACTGTTTTTAGGAAGCAATACACCAAACTCTAATGTTCTCTTTACATATCTTAGCACCCTTTTTGTAGCTAGTAAATGCATTTTCTTTGATTGATGCATGAATTTACTAAGAACTCCACCTGCAAAACAAATCTCAAGTCTATTGTTACATAGGTACCTGAATGAACCAACCATTTGTTTATATAGGGTGTTGTCAACTTCTTCATCATTAGCTGAGGCAATAATCTTTGTCTTTGCTGGAGTTATTGCTACATTACAGATTTTCATGTTGAATTTTTTTAAGATCTCTGTTGCATATTTCCTTTGATGGGGAATAATTCCAGTAATGGGTTCAACAAACTCAAGCCCAAGAAAGTACTATCAATCATTTCAAATTCAGCCATTAATAATCCTTTAAATTTTTCAATTTCGAAGATATTGCTCCATGTGATCAATAGGTCATCCACATAAATGCACATTAGGAGTAAATTTGCATCATCTTGGAATCTTACATAAACACCATGTTCCACTAGACATTTCAAAAACTTATGCTTTAGCATGAACAGATCCATCACCTTATTCCATGCTCTTGGTGCCTGCTTTAGGCCATAATGTCTTCCTCAACCTATACACTTTGTTTTCACACCCTTTAATCTCAAATCCAGGAGGTTGAGTGACATAAACCTCTTTTTCAAGCGGTCCATTCAAAAACGCATATTTTACATCTAATTGGAATAGAGAGAGGGAAAGAGTTTGCTCATAGTGTTATGCAACAAATATTTCTTTGACAAATGGAAAACATGACTAAGAAGTCCTATTCATAACCCAATTTTGGTACACATTAGCCAAGAAAAGACATATCCACCAAAGAATTACATATTAGTCATTGTGTGACATGTTAGAAAAGGTTTGGCATGTGAGTCAAGTAACGACACAATAACTTATATTTAACATGTTAATCAAGGTTTGACATGCTAATCAAGGTGACGTGTTAATTAAAATTTGACATGCTAGTTAAAGAAGGGCAAATGAGCCAAGTTTACACAATAATCAAAGTTAATTTCAAAAACAAAATTATTACTTAAACACAACATAGCAAGGTGACAAACTTTAAGGATCAAATTGACTTTATTTAAAAAATTAAGGCGTAAAAAAGAAAAATATAAAAATTAAATGAATCGATTTAAATGTAAAAACGAAATTACTGATATAGTCAAATCAAAACCAATGATAATGTTGCATACATACATGATCAAGTATCATAATACAAGTGAAGCTCTTCACCTAAAACTTGAATAAAAATTAACATTAAACCATTTGTCTATACTAGTAGTTTACATAAGTCAACACATAATACTTGTGACTTTCAAGACCATATTAACTAAGATGGCATAAGACTTTATGTTTATACATTTCACTTGAATTATGTTTTTGTAATGAATTAACTTCCATAAAAAATTAAATTTTAATTACTTTTATTATATATTTAAATATTTTTACATTTAAATGTTTATTATTGAATTTATTTTATAAATTTCTTAAATAAGTTTTTCCAAACATAGTTAGCTAATTTTATTATTTTATAAGTTTCTCAAATAAGTCATTTTCAATCTTCCATTATTATTTCAAAGAGTTATTTATTATAGATAATTATTTCAAATCTATTTTAAATACTTTTTAAATAGTACATTTACAATTAAAACTAAGTTTATAAATTTATTAACAATAATTTAAATTAATAATTATAGCCAATTACAAATTTTCAATTAATAATAATGGAATTATTAATTTATTATATTTAATATATACTAATAAAATTATTATTTCCTTTTTAATTATTTAATTTATTATATTTAATTTAATATTAATATTTTACATTAAACTTAATTTTATATTCACGTTAATTATCAATGTTAATATTTTTTTATGAAAATAATTTGAACAAGATTCATTTTCTGTTTAAAAAAATTCAAAATACTAGACCAGTTCCCGTTAAACTGAGTTCCGTATGGTTTTTTTTTTTCGATACAATTTGCCAACATTTCATATTAAATTTTTTAATTAAGCACAAAATAAATTTTCACATTAAAGTAATTTTTTATAGTTTTAGTTTCTTACAAAATATAAATAAATTAATATAATTTTAACCAAAATTTATTACATAAATTATATTAACAAAATTCATTTTCTATTTAAAAAAAATACCAAACGGAAATTCCGTTCCTTGAAACTAAGTTTTGACTTATCTTCCAGTAAAATTTGCAAACCCAAAAAGCTACAATTTTTAATTAATCAAAACACTACAAACCCTAATTCTGATTTGTTTTAAAAAAAATCTTAATATATTATAAGTTTTAAAAATATATATGAACTGTATAATTTTTAAATAATTTTACAAAATTTTTGATATAAATTATTGAAAACGTTATTTTCTTCTGTAAAAAAAAAAGTCAGAATACCATATTAAAATTCGTTTTCGAAAAGTGAATTTTGCGTTACTGGTGTCTGTTGAAATATGGGAAATATAACAAAGCTAGAATGGAGTTCTCTGGGTCCAGAATTAAATGGGGGTGAATAAAAAAAATTCACCATCACCGTCAACATGCTCTATATTTTGTTATTATTATAATAGCATTCACACTTGCAAAAATGATGTTAAAGAATATTATAATGCAAAAGCAATGAACTTTACAACCTGGATGTTGATTCTCTTTCACTGCTCCCTTTTTTTTTTTTTTTATAATTACATTTATGGGACTTCCTAATACTCTCTTTCTGCTTTGTATCTCAATCACAAAAAAGAGACAAGAAAGTGAAAGAGAAGCAATTTAATGTTGTCCTGCAACATGTACAACCAGTGATAAAACCAACAGCATTTCAAAATTGGGGAATAAAGCAGAGCTCAATTAATAGCTTAAGGTAAATGGAAACAAAAAATAATCAAAGAATAGAGAATACAGAAATTTAAATCACTACTTTATTGTATATGTAAACTATATAAGTTTGTTGAGTGTAATGTTTACAGTGAAAAAGGAAAAACTTGAGGTAAAAGTCAAATTTCTTGGTCTTGAGAGATCCTCGTTGGCATGATATTTTGGAAAGAAAAAGCATCCTAGCCACCAAGGCTTTGCACAGTTGATACAGCTAAAACATGCTGGTTAAACTGTCACTGTGACTATGTTGCTTATACAACAATAATGTCTTGTCTTGCATTAGAAGGACCTAGGTAGCTTCTCACTGTATTCAACTATGGCTGATGGAGGAAGTAGGCCAGAGCATATCTCATGCACTGTTGAGAAGAGAGGAAACAACTCTAGCCACCCACGATGGCTTAGAACCTCATAAACCTCACTCGCAGTTGAGACACCCTTGGTGCAAGAAATTTAGATCAATAAAAACATCAACATCAACAACATGAAAATCACTAGTGGTTGCAGAGTTTTCCTGCTATAATAGAACATGAACCTATATATAGTACTATTTATTTGTCATGCCAAGTATCACAACATACCTGTAATTTCTGGCCTTGCAGCATTTCTGCTTCAAGCTCATCAAAAGACCTGCATAAAATTATGAAACATAAAACACACTCAGGCTTTTTCATTCCCTCAATCTACATATATGGACAAAAGAGACAGAAACACAAAAACAACCTCTTCCCTCCATTCCTTGCATATGCCTCAGCAACTTTTCTATTTCTTCCACCCACTGCCATAGACAATATGGTTTTCATAAGACAAGCAGTGAAAAATAGGGTGACATTAATTAGCTTCCTTACAGCATGTTGTGATAAGATCAGCTACTCCACAGCTCTCAAAAAAGGTGCTGTCCTTAACAGATGGAAACAACAACTTTGAAAATGCCTTCATTTCTCTCAGACCAAGTCTCATGATTGCAGCCTACACACATGTAGAAAACCAAATCAAATGCACAAAAATTACTTTTCCTTTTCCTTTTTTTGTCCTTCTGCTAACCTTCTGATCATAAAATCTTTTAAACTTACTTTTGTATTATTTCCCATCTCCAGGCCATCAACAAAACCTGTCCCGTTTGTGTGTCATTCCTTGATTGTTCACAAAAATAGAAAAAAAGGGAAATAATAACAAAGTGCATATACAGTACAGGAAACCTGCTGCTATGGCCACAACATTTTTCAAAGTTCCACACAGTTCAACTCCTTCAACATCTTGAGCCTGTTTTTCCATAGAATACAAAAATTGTAAGTATCAATAATATCTCAACAACAACAATAACAAAGCCTTATTTAAATCAAGTGAGGTTGGCTATATAGATCAAATGATGTTAATCTTTACCATGAGATCAAATAATTCAGTTCAAGGTTGCATAATATCTCAGTGTTTTAGAAATTTAAAAACACCCGTGACCATAATAATCGAATTTGGATTCTCTGCTGGGTTTTTGTGTGTTGTTCTTTTGTTGTGCCTTCAAAATACATTGATTGACATTGATTTTAATGTTTTAAAATATATTATAAAGATTTTTAAAATACCAATATCAGTGTATTGTTAATGCTCAGCAAATGACAGTACAAAAACCCAATAGAGAATCTGGACTCATAATAATCTGTCTTGAGTCATGATATTTCCTTAGTATTTGCTACAGATTACTTAAAAGAGCAAATTCCTCAGTTGAATTAAGTTTGATGATCATTTGTTAAAGAATGTGATGTACTCACAGCTGTCACAATGAAATAGGGAGTATAAAACAACTGAACCCATCTCTCAGCAACTTCTCTGTTGTTTCTGTATCCAACAGTTGCTTCACTAAACTTCTCCACAGCTATCTGCATAAACATTGATAATAGCTATATAACAACCAAATACAATGAGTAGAAAACTATGAAAAAAAAGACAAACTGTAATTTCTTCTAACTACCTCATTTGCTATGTTGGCACCCATTAAAACAGAACAATTGATTCCCAGTTGCTGGGAGATGAGAGTAGAGATCATGCATGGCCCTTCCATCTTGACCTCCATCCCTTTAACAAGGGAAATAGCCTCAGCATCTTCCCTTATTTTCCCAACAAGCCTTTTGCATATTCCTTCCACAAATTGATGTGGAGTGACAAATACTAACATGTTGGAATCCCTCACTGCTCAATTTACCCCAAAGTAAACAGTGAACATCTTTTAATCCTTATGTTGTTTTGCATCATTTTCATCATTTCAAAGTTTGGTCCTTTGGGTATGAGGTTTTTATTTTTATGTACTCAATCACAGTGAAAAAAAATAATGAGCAAATAGTTCATGCAGTGATAGTGTACAGAAGTACTAAATTATCATCTAATCACAAACATTTTGGTTAGGTAAGATATATGACTTTTACAATAACAACAATCATATCAATGATGAGATTTCTCAATGGTTGACTGAGTAAATTGTTTTACACTGACTGTACATAGGAATTAAACTCAAATAAATAAATGAACAACACTGATACCTGCATTTTCAAGGTCTGGATCTGCAACAACATTTTGGCCAAGTTTGATTCCAGGGAGATATTTGACATTTTCCTGCCAAAATAAACAGTGATGTTCAATTTCTTTTTAGGGAAAAAAATTGGACATTCAACGAAAAAAGTGAAAGGAATAGAATTCTCACATTGGTTCGATTGATGACATCTGTGAGCTTTTCACCACTCGGTAATGTCTCCTCGTACACCCACATCCTAACTTCATCTGAATTTCATCAAAAATTGGAAATTTAAGATTCTAAATGAAAGATCACTTATTCATATTGTTTGAGAATACGACAACAGTAAAAGCCTTATCCAATCACATAGATTTGAGTACAAAACATCATTCTACTCAAATGCACCAGTACGAAATCAAGTAATGCATTAAATTAGTCCATGACATTATGAATCAATGAAATTTTCAAACGTAATTCAAGTTTCATTTGCATCAATTGGGTCACTTCCCCATGACTCCGTCCAATTACAACACAGGCACCAAAATCCCACAACAGGGACTAAAAATAGAATAAACAATTTCTTTTTTTTGTCATAATTTCAAGACTAAAATATCAGTCATTCAATAACGTAAATAAGATGCAACAAAATCATTCCTTGTAACTTGAGGGATTAAATCAACCCAGTTCCGTAGTTTTGGAAACCGATTTGACATTTGACGCATCAACACTTCATCCAAAGTGATAAAGATTCTGACGAAAGTACTGAAAGAGCAAGAAAATTACCATGGAAGGAGGCAAGCCTGAGGGTGTTGGAGGCAATGAGCTTAGAAGCAACACTGCCCCAGTTGCCGCTTCCAATAACAGTGACTTTGGATCTGTGTGTGGCATCATTGAGACTGTTATAGAAGTTGTTGTTCTGTGGCAGAGATTGTTCCTCTTCTTGAACCTGGGCTTCCAAGGCTGGAGCCATGAAGAAGAAGAAGAAGAGAAAGAGAAGAATGCAAGGTAATGCAGAAGGATTATTGAAGCAGTGGAACAGTGGAGATGAAGAGAGAGTGAATATAAGAAGGGAAAGAAAAGGGTAATGGGGGCGGAGATGGCACAACTGTTTCGTGACAAACTATGTTTTAAACGTTAAATCTGTCGATCCCATCTATGTTTGCAACGTGTTTGTTGCTGCTACAGTGGGGACCACTTTCTGAGTCTATCCATGCACACCCGTTCTAGATTTTCTTTCACTTCTTTCTGCTCACCATTTCATAACACATGTTCCAATTAATTTACTTTATGCTAAAATAGATTTTTTGTTTTCTTTTTCCTCATTTTTTAAATTCAGTTTACTTTTTTATTTTTTACTTTTAAATTCATCTTTTATATTTGTAATCTAACTCAAAAAACAAAATAGTCTTACCAGAATAACACTGTTGCGTAGGATGAAAATTACCTGCTGGTATTTTGGGCCAATGATTACCCGATTAAAACGGGCTTTTACATTCTACACCCTGATAATTTCTTTGTGCATCTCCAAATATTTTATTTTTTATTTTTTTTTAAAAATGATGTCCAGATTATATATTTTGAAAATTTTCTTGAATAAGCTTTTTAAAATTTTCAGAATAAGATTTCTGATATGAGATTTTCGAATGGAAATTTTAGAATCAGTTTTTTAAAATATATGAAATGCATTTTGGATATTGCTTTCTCAAATGAGCTTTTCTTGCATTTTCTATTTTTCTTCTTCTGCAGCGTCTTCTTTTTTTCTTCTTCCTCTATAGTAATAATAATGATAGAAGTATTCATAATAACAGTAACCACAACAAGGTAATGCGATACAAGAGTATATTAAAGTGGGAGTGCAGCTAATAGCTGTGAGGCTACATGAAGCAATAGCCCTAAAACGAGGTTAGATTTTGTCTTCAGAAATTGAATTCTGAACCTCTGATTCATGTCGGAAATGAAAACATAACTAGATCTCTTTGGAAGTGGAATTCTTATAAAAAATAAATGAATTTAAAATTTAAGTTAATTAATTAATTAAAATATAATTTTGATTTCCAAATTAAAATATTATTTTCAGTAATGTTTTTAGTGGCAATAAATTTATTAACTTAATTGGACAAACATCTTAAGATTATAAAATTTCAAGATTAATTGACAAAAAAATGTTAATTTTAAAACAGAAAAAAGTAAATTCAATATTTTGTTAAATATAATTAATTTATTAACTTAATTAATTATTGGAAAGTTAATTGATTATAAAAAATGGAAATTTAATTCATAAATTTAAATAATTATGTAATTTAGTATTATAAAAACGAATTTATTATTGGACTCGATAATTCAGTCATTATTTATTTTTTATAACTGAAAATTATTTAAAAAATTAATAATTACTATAAAGGTTTAGTACTTGTAAAAAACTCATTATTTATTAGATATTAACAAAACAATCATTAAAAAGTGAGATAATTATTTGTAACTATTCTCATATTTTCAAGTTTATGTTTATGCAAAATTATTTATTGTAAAATGTTTAATTAAAAATAATAAAATGAATATTTTAAACGAATACTAAAGATAAAGTCCTTGAAGATGTACAAGGAGATTACAAGAATACCTAATAGATTACAAGAATACCTATTATTTGAAATTGTTGATCATTCAACCAAAAATAACCTCTTCCCCGATTGACTCCCTCCAAGTTTGTGAGAGGTTAGCTTAAAATAAGGTCTAAAAACTGAATATCTTATTTCCTTTATTTATATTTTGCCTACATTTTCTCCCAACCACACAAAAATTTATCTCAAAATAGATCCCTAAAACTTCTCTCAACCATCAAAACTCTCTTTAAATAACCCTCCCATGCAAACTCAATACTCATTCTTACTTGCAGCAGTTTTTCTCTACCTCCTCTGATAGAGAAGAACAACTGCTCTTACACATTAAGAATCTTCCTACGCAAGAACAAATAATACATTAAAATCCCCAAAAAAATACCCAAAAATGGCTCGTCAACTTGTTGTTCTTGCTCTTGTTTTTGTTGCCGTAAGTGGCATTGCCATGGCTGAAGAGGCTCCATCTGCATCTCCAGAATCATCTCCATCACCAACATCATCTCCAAAATCATCATCTCATTCACCAAAATCATCTCCATCACCAACATCATCTTCATCGTCACCATCTTCATCACCAAAGTCATCTCCATCACCAAAATCATCTTCATCACCAGCATCGTCTCCATCTCCAAAATCATCTCCATCACCAAAATCATCTCCTGCCCCATCAACCGAGTCTCCTCTCTCATCTCCTCCTTCACCTTCTCCATCATCCGATGACACTAAAGTCGCAACCCCACCAGCTCCCGGCAGCAACCCCATCGAGCTCTATGCACCTGAACCCGCACCCTTTGACGCCTTCTCGCCCGAGGCCGACCCCGCCGACATTGCCAACGGTGCCGCTTCTCGTCAAATCTCTGCTGCCCTCGTTGCCACCGTTGCTGCTGCTGGCTTCTTTGCCTTCTAAGCTACTTTCTTAGTTGGCGTTGCACTTTATAACTTGGGACAATGTGTTGGGCATGGTTCTATATCTTGATTCATTAGGTTATGTTCAATCATTGGATTAGTGCAGATGGTTTGTTCTCAAGAACATCAAAGTTTTATTTACGCCTTCAATGTCACTTCTATGAACAATTTTCTCTAATCTAAATGTTTCAAAAATTTTCCTTTGTCTTTTCCTTTAATCTTTCCATTTATTACACCACCCAACATTCTAGTTCTCGTGGGATAAAATCTCAAATTCAATTTTTTATTTTCACGCATGGTAACGTTATATATATTCATACAACTAAACAATGATTAAGTTAAGCTACAAAGGATGCAATAAGACTTAGGAAGGAAACCCAATTTTTTATCTGTGAAATTTTTATCGAAAGTTTCTTCTCATAATATTCTGTACTACTTTGTCTATTTATTTCAATAGACACAGAAAAGACTTGTTTAAAAATAAATAATTAACTTTTTAATGATTAATATATGATAAATCATATCTAACATGTTCCGAAGCACGAGTCTTGCCTATTAACATTTATTTTCTTTCATAGGTACTAGTATGTGCGTGTGTTATTTTTTTTATAATAACAAAAAATAATAAAATTATAATTATAAAAATAAATATAAATAATTCTATATAGATATATTTATATTGTAGATAACTTTTATATATTTATTTTATAAAATATTTAAATTTAAAAAATGTTTAACTAAAAAATGCTTAAATTTAAAAGCTGTCATTTGAAGAGTAAAATTGGAAAACAATGTAGACTTAAAAGAAGAAAATTGGAAAAATAATATGGACACAAAAAGGATGAATCTTCATATAATAATATAGAAGTATAAATAAACTTGTTTACATGGTCATACACGAAACTGTTGATTTTTGTCTAATTTTATTTGACGATTTTTATTTTTAATGAAGAATTATTTTGAAAAAAGACACTCAACAACAATTACATTGCTATTTGTTTCGTGACAAATAAAATTATATACTAATTTCCATTTTTTATTGACGAAGTGAATTGGAAAATGTTCATTTAATGTTACCAAAATCTTGTTTTTGATTTCTTTAAGGTAGGAACTAAAGGTTGAAGTAGCTAATTCATTATGGGTAGAGCGTAGTTTGTGAATTCATTGTTTTCTAGCACCACGCGCTTTTAACATAAACAACCTCAACTTTCCAACACACTGTAACATCTGACCCCTCTTGGACTCATCAAAACATACTAGTGTTTCCTTTCTTAGAACCTCAACAACTCCAACCTTGCCCACCTTTCACCATCCACCTCAATGTTATGTGGGTTATCGTCCTTAAAGAAAGTTTTAACTGACATAGCCTTACAACTTCCTTTTATCAGCAATAAAAAAAATATATTAATGGAATAAATGACTTATTAAGTAGAGTCTGAAGGATGAAGTTGATGAAAATGATTCAATGTTAGAGTAATAATAATTTTTGGTTATGATTCTAGGTTATAGAACTTGATGAAACATGTTTAGCTTATAAATTATTTACTTTTTCATTGTTTCATTTTCATGTGTAGACTAAAAAGATTAGAAACTTGCTTAAGTCAATCCATGAAACCCTGAAATTCAACACATGTTTGTATGGTTCAGAACATTTTATGGAGAACTGTGTTAGTTACATATTGTATAATAACATATTTATTAGATAAAATATCTTAGATATTTTAAGCGGTTAAGATATTTATGAGTAACTAATCAAGTTTTCAGGTAAGGTTGTTTTTACACTTATAAATACAATAACAGACGATAATATTTTAGGGTGATATTATAATCACTCTCTTGAGAGCTGGGGTCCATAACTCACATCTGACTTGAGCATCTCAGACATTTAGAAACAACAAAGACACACCGGAAAACATCTACACCGAAACACATATGAACAACCTTGTACAGAACCAAGACTGTTGGACTCACTGCAGCCCAGCAGTTTTACTTCATGCACTCACACATTTACATATTGCACTCCCATACTTTCTGTCACTTTTATCCCTGCTTTATTATATCATATATTTTAAACATACACCCACCATTTATTTTTTCTTATTTTTTTAAATTTTGGGCTTCTCTTTTATTATTTACAACTCTTGTTTCAACTTCTCATATTTCCAACTCACTTACTTTTTCGCACACTTTTTCACACATACACCGTTTCTTTTAAAAGAAATTGAAAAAAACAAGTTTATTTTTCTTATTTTTGGATTATGTACAGTTGCTCGTCTATTTGACACTCCTTTTAAATAAAAATACCAAAAAGTAAAAAAAGGTTTTCAAAATTAAAAAAAAATTCAAAATGACTTTCCAAATAGTTTTCTAGAACTAAAACTCTGTTGTTTCTAAACTCTGTTTTTTCTGAACTTTATTTTTTTATTTCAAATAAAAATACATAAGAACGATATTAATCCTTGTTGGTCTTTTTTATAAAAAAACATTTATTTATGATGTCATACTCTCGGATATCCACACTATATTAGTAATTATCATTAAATTTAATTTGAGTATTTCTTTATTATTCAACCAAACCAATCACAATAAAATTATTAATAAAAGAAATATTAATCATGAAAAAATTGATTAAAATTTGACTTCACATATTTTTAATTTTTTATTTAGACATAATAAATTGAATTTATTTTGTAAAAAATTACATTTTAAAATTTATATTTTTGTACAACTTATTTAAATTTACTTTTTAGGAAAAACTAAATTTACTTTCGTTAATATTTATTGTGTAATTTGATTTGTATTTAAAGACTAATCTTTTTATCCAACTAAGTAAAAGCTCAAGGCCATTATAAATAGCAATATTCAAGAAATAATTACTACATATTCTTTCTAATAATTATTATTCTCTTACACACATAGTTGATTTATGCATAAAAATTATCTTTACATATGAGAAAATTTTGAAACTTGAAGACAAATATCTAATATTGATGAAAAGACGTTGAAGAAAGCTTCTTGTTAAAATTTTCTAGGATATATCTTAGCCCAATAAGAACAACAACTAAATCTCAACAATAAATAAAAGTCAATTAGATTAAAATTTTGAAGTCATTCCACCAACATGTATAAATACTAGCAGCACAGGTAAAAAAGAATTTAAACAGATGGGAAGGTATAACCCAGATTGATGCTGTGTTCATCCCTGCATCCTATCCCCTTTCTCCCTAGCGCATCTCTCTCTCAATTCTCGTCCTTGGATCTACTGTTGAGCCTCTTTATCCTTCCCTGCTGTGCATGGTGTTGGTGCTTCTTCCTCCTCTCAGTTTTCTCTTCTTATCGCTGCTTCAAGTTAGTTTATTCTCGTCGCTACTCCATGGTTGATTATGTGATGTATGGATGATAAAATCAATTTATATAAAACTGATTGTTGTGGTAGATCATGTATTGTATGATATATTTGCATCTGTGATAAATTAGGATGGGTTATCTATGATTGATAGAGTTGGATTTGCAGGAACGAGACCTAGAAACCTTCAAAGTACAGTTAAGGCCTAGTAGGCGTTCGAACGCCGGTTGAGGGTTAGTTCGAAACACGACGAGGTCTCAACTCATGTTTGAATGCACATGGGACCTGAATCGTATTTCGAAGTGTAATTAAGACTTCGCCGGCGTTGCAACATTGATTGAGGTCTCAGTTGTTTCTAACTGCATTTTGTATTTTTCTTTTTTTATTTTTTATGTGTTTTTTATTTTTTTTAAAATTTGTAATGTTTATTTATATTTTTGATTTTAGTATTTTGATTTTTGTATTTATATATTTCACTCTTTTATAGAGAAAATATGTTTTAAATATTTTGTTATTATTTTTTGAATTTAGGAACATAATTCAGTTTATTACTTTTATTTTTTATGTTTTTCTTTATTTTTTAATCTGTAATGTCTATTTATATTTTTCATTTTTGTATTTTGATTTTGTTTATTTTTATATTTTACTTTTTTTTTTATAGAAAAACTATATTTTTATTTTTTGAACTTAGGAATATAATTTAGTTTAATTATTTTTATTTTTTTTATGTGTTTTTAATTTATTTTTAATTTTAAATGTTTATTTATATTTTTGACATTTGATTTTTTTTTGTTTATCTATATATTTTACTTTTTTATAGAGAAAATATGTTTTAAATATTTTGTTATTCTATTTTGAATTTAGGAATATGATTTAGTTTTATTACTTTTATTTTTTATGTGTTTTTTATTATTTTTTTAATTTTTAGTTTATTTATATTTTTGATTTTTTTATTTATATATTTTTTGCTTTTATAGAGAAAATATGTTTTAAATATTTTGTTATTATTTTTTGAATTTAGGAATATAATTTAGTTTTATTATTTTTTTATGTGTTTTTTATTTTCTTTTTAATTTTTAATGTTTATTTATATTTTTGATTTTGTTTTTTTATATATTTTACCTTTGTATAGAGAAAAGTATGTTTTAAATTTTGTTATTATTTTTGAATTTAGGAATTTAATTTAGTTTTATTATATTTTTTATGTGTTGTTTTTAATTTGTAATGTTTATTTATATTTTTTGTATTGTTTTTGTTTATTTATATATTTTACTTTTTGATAGAAAAATATGTTTTAAATGTTATTTTATATTATGTAATATTTTTTGTTTTTTTAAATATATTTGATATTTATGTTATTTTTGTTTTTAATAAATTTAGGAATTTAATTTTGTTTTGTATTTTATTTTTAAAATTTTAATTTGTTTGATTTTTAATTTTAATTTCAAAATGTTATTTTAAATATTGAAAAATAAAAATATTATTTGATTTTTTTTATATATAAGTATTTAATATAAATATTTTTAATATATTTGGTTGGCAAAAATGGTTAGAGCTAGAGGTGCGTTCATTTATTGCGGTGAAGCTTCATGTTCATCACATAAAGAAAGGAGAAGACCTACGATATCAATTCGTAGAAGATGCGTTAAAGAAATTAATGTGGATGTGATTCAGGATGATGAAGAGAAGCATCAAGAGTATATTTACCAGGAATATATTAAGGACGACCATGTTAAGCATGAGGATGTTCCTCAAGAAGAAGATGAAAATGATGGATTCCCAAGAGGTGCACAAGACACCTCCCTACTTACCCGCAGATCATACCATGGTCGCCCAAGAGTCTTTCGATGCCAGACATTTCGA